TTTCGTTTTACTATACTTTCATATATTTTTGTGATTTTGTATTTCCTCTACCCCCATACGTTAGCAAGCAGGAGTAAAACTAAAAAACTACAGTTATCTTTATTTTGAGTTCACACCTTCACTTTTTGCAGTTTGATAAATATAAGTTCAGACCCTTGAGCTGTGGGTTCTCCCTGGGTTCTCTCTGTGCAGCTGAGAATATTGAGGCTCTTCTGAAATTATGAGTTGTATTTCAGACAGCAGGTGTGTTTAGCTTTTGTTATAAAACGCTGAACTCTTATGTTTCAACCCTCACAGCTCCAAAGACCAGGTTGTTCATATACAGCCTCAAATATAACAGAGCTGTATATACTGTGTGTGTGTTTACACGGGGACTCTCTGCTCTGTAATCCTGCAGTCTTTTGAAGTTCCTGTGGGAACAGACCGAGGGATTAATGAGCGGTTGTGTTGTAGAAGTGACTTAAAGATGCACGGAGAGACTTTTCTGTTTTGTTGACTGCTACAGATCAGAGAGAAGGAGAGAAGTCAACAGTCAGCACGCGCTCCGGATTTATTATTGATGTTTCATGTTAGCGGCTGCACACGGTAGTCAGTTCTCTGTGGACACCGACAGTCTAGGAGGGATGAGTCAGTTTGAAAACAGACCGTGGATTTGCATGGTGTATTTAAATTTCCTTGGCGTTCCTTTGTGTGGGAACAGCAGAACTGTTAAAAATGAAAGTTTTCTGTGAAGTGAAAGATAAACATAAAAAAGCTAAGCTATTTATAATCTATTTTGAATTAAATTTAACATAGAGCTCCAGAGGTTTTTAAAATGTAAGGCTGGCAATATTTTCTGTTTCTTCTAATAGGTGGTTCGCATATGACGTCACGTCATCGTGTTACTGTGGAGAGCAGGAAGTGATTGTCTACATAGACAGAACTATCACAAGCTCTCAAAATACCTATAGCTTGATCAAATCGATCACACCAAAAAACAGACAAAGCTTTTATCAAGTACCAAAAATAGGGAAAAGGCAAGAAACTGACCATATAATGCTGGTATTGTGTCAAGCGTTCCCCCCCAACACAGATGTTTCTCCCCTGTTAAACATTGTTTCCCTTATCGCCTCCATCGCTGGTCAGGACTAGGATAAGGCTAGATTCACATTAAGTTACTAAGGGGAAACACCACTCGATGGGAACACATTTGGACATAACACTGACAAAAATGGCTTGTGTAGTGAGTTAATGCTCTGCTGCACCACTTACTGTATGTAGCTATGTGCAATTGCAATGAGCTGCAGTGACTTTTTTGTCCTGTTTTGCAATGATCATCCAACATCTTTAGTGGTGTCACTGGACCTTTAAGAGTGGTTAACCTACATTAACTTCATCTCTTCACGGTGGTTTTCACACCCTTGCCTCCTTCTGAGTTTCGCCTGTCATAGTAATCATGTGTTTGCAAACCACCTATTGTCAACAAATCTTATGTGCAGATCCAGACCAACAATGTCTTAGTCTGTCTCTCCATATTCTCAACTCAGAGACCGTTGGTTCCAACTTAAGGTGCAACTGTGAGGCAACAGCGCAAACAACTGCAACACCATGCCACCATTTTTGCAAACTAACAGGACACATTTTATTTGTTGGGGACTATTTTCAGCGGCGGATCAATCCACATTTAGTCCTGTATTGAGCATAAGGACAGTGTATGAGGACTGAGTCAAAATAAACTACAGTGTGTTTGTTCATGTTCATGTTCAAGGTACATGGCACCCAGTGTAACAGAAAACCATGACTGACATTTTTCAAAATAGTTTCACATTTTATAGACTGAATAATTTAATAAGATATCAGCAAATTAATCAGTAATAAGAGTAATGATTAGTTTGAAGTCATATTAGTCTTTACTTCCTTTTTGAATGCTTGTGGTAGAAGTATGAAAGTCATAATTAGGGACACCAGAGTCATGTCTTCAGTATTGATTTTGAAATATGGGAAATTTTGGAACATTGGAAAATTGTTTTAATGACCTAAAGAGGAATTTACATTGTTGGGACTTTGTTTTTAAGGCTAGGTCTAAGACAATCATCATGCTGAAAATTTGGTTAGTCCTGACAGAAGATGAATTACGATACATTCATGGCAGTGTGAAAAGTTCTTGATGGGAGATCAGGTTAACTGAAAATATAACGGAAGAGTTAATTGAGTTTGGTGGCTAATGAAACAGTGTTTGGAGGAGTGGGAGAGGTTGCACTGTGAAAGCTTTGCCCAGTGTCCTCACCTTCCTAAACTCTAACTCTGGACATTTCCTTGACAGATGCGACGGGTGTTTTGCAGGTCAGGGCTCTGAAGGACTACTGGAACCTGCATGATCCCACCGCCCTCAACATTCGAGCCGGAGACATCATCATGGTGAGAACTCCTCTCATCACTAACAGGCTCACTGAGCTTTTTCATGCCTAGTTTAACAGACTTGTGTTCTGGGTAGGACCATAACAAAAACTGTATGTTTTTCCAAACCTGAAGTTTCATGTGGAGACAGACGTCTGTTAAAAATGTAGCTTTAATTAAAATATTTACTTATAAAAACAAACCATTCAACCAGGACATAGAAGTAAGTAAAGATTGAAATATGGTTGAAATTAAAGCAAATGTGCACAGTCACAAGTTTGCACATCTTAAACGACCTTTTTGCAAACCAAGACTGTAACTAAATCAGATTAACATTCTGCAGTATGTGTTCCACCTGCATTAAGTGACCACTGTTACATGCATCAGCTCTTGTCATGAGAGCTGGTGACACTGAATGACCAACATTACACTACACACCTGTAAACACACACACACACACACACACACACACACACACTGGTCCTTTCCTTTAGTTGGATATTTTGTTGCTATCTGAAGGACTGAGTCCCTTCCAGGATTGATGTGGGCAGTTAACCATAAATCTTTTCTATAATAAATGTTTCCTGCAGAGATCTCACTGTTTTAATGTTATCCAACGATTTAGCTTTCACCTCTCAAAATGAACTCGGGGAAAACAATTTAATACAAATGTGAGCGAGTCCAGTTTCTGCAGAGCATAAGGATGTGAATAAATAAACACCCTTTTCCACCAAACCTCGTAATAGATGGGAACAACATGTGTAGCCATGGTAATTGTACACAAAAAAGATAGTTTATAAATCAAATTCAGGTGTCAAAATGAACACTAATTATAATAAAATAATGAAATAATAATGATTAAACCAAGGCAAGAACAGAAGTATAGCGTGAGATTGATACACACATCAAGCTCAGAAGTGTTTTGACAAAACCTCTGTCATGTCATAAACTGAGCTGCTCTCTGTTTAAACGCCATCATTTGAAGTCAAATGAGACAAACCTTTATTGTGGGAATGAGTGAGCTAAGCCTCAGCTTTCACGGAGACAGGTGAAGACAAGTCCAACCCAGTGGCCAGCACGCACACCTTCCTTTGACTCTGCTGTGTTTTCCCTCTTTATATCCAACAACTATTTGATGGATTGTAATAAAACCTGGTGCAGACACTGACATTCCCTGAGGATGAATTATAATAACACTCGGATCGTCTGACTTTTCCTCTAGCACCATCATCAGTTAAACAGTTTAACCTGTCCAGTACTGTGGTACCTGCAAAACTAATGGCAGTCCCATCAGTCTCAGCTGTACTTTGTGTTTAGTGCTAATTAATGTTAGCATGCTAAACACCTTCTACCTGCCTAACAACAAGTTTGTTCTTTGAGTTTTTAGTTTGGCTTGTGTCCCAACCACTAACATGACGGTGGCAGGATTTATGACCTATATTGCAGCCAGCCACCAGGGGGCGATCATCTTTTGGTGGCTGTCAGACTGTCCATCTTTTATACAATCAGTGTTTATGACTAAAGTTTATGTTTCCCTAAATTACTATATTTCAATGTGAAGCAGCTTTTACCTACATGTTCCAGTTAGTCATTTAAAGGCTGTTTAAACTTTACTAACTTAGTAACATCTAAAGTTCAACCTGTATTTCTTTTAACCTGTAAATCAGCCACTCTGACTTCCTGCAAGTGAGTAAAGCTGAAGGTGTTTATCAGCAGAGATGTGAGGCAGGTGTTGGTCCGTATGCTTCATGCTGGGGCTTGTACTAAGTATAAAACATTGCAAAACCACACTATGTGGTGCTCTCTTGATCAAGCAAGTTCTGGCTTTGTATAAACAGTGGAGAAATCCAGACGCTCCCTATATTGTTGTTTTCCCAAACGTCTACCAACAAAAACAGCAGATGTTTTAAACTGGATATTATCCAGCACCGTGTGTCACACTGCTGGCACACTCCTAAAACTCGTGACTTTTAAGGCTCACGTCATTGGTCAAATTATAAAAACACGGCCAAGTATTTTCTCTGTGTAAGAGTTTCACTGGAGTTCATTGTTTGAAATAATAATCCTAAAGCATTTCACCAGGGGCACATAGTAAACAGTCTCATCCCCAACAGGTGTTGGAGCAGCACATGGACGGACGCTGGAAGGGCCACATCCATGACATCCAGAGAGGGACAGACAGAGTCGGCTTTTTCCCTCCGTCCATTGTTGAGGTCATCAGCAGAAGGAATGGTCAGTAACACACTCAGCTTCTCACACCAATAAGACTGTCGGTGATGTGGAAAACATCGGAGAGCTTTTACACAGGCTCTGACAAGGTTCCTTAAAGTATAAGTGTTTTTTTTTTCTTATTGCCAACAAATCTCTTGCAGATCCGCTCCACCAGTGTATTAGTATGTATCCCGGTCATTTCTGACTTTCCTACCCTGGAAATATTTAAAAACACACTACAAATACATAGTTTAATTTTTAAAAAAGGCTCAGGACTTTCCTGGATCTGACCATGGGCGGAGCTAGAGAGATACATCACACATTCAGTGGTGGTTTGAGTTTACACATGGGATTTGTTGACAAGAAAAAACATATAGATTATTACCAGACTGATGATTTAGTTTTTGTGTATGTTGTGGGTGCCACTGGGTGGTGTTTTTTTTCCACGTCACTTCATCAGAACATTTCTACAGATCAGAGACCTTTATCATATAGGACATGATGTAGATTGGAGTCCCCCATTCAGATCCTGAGATAGGAACTAATCTGCCTGCTTCGGGCCATCCCATGCTTTCACCTCCTCTCTCCTCCCTCCTGCATCCATCTCTCCGTTCAAACCACATAATGACTGACCTCCACCTCTAACCATCGGCTTGTTAACCCCTCCACCCACCCACCTCCTCCTTCCCCATCTCGCCCAGTAGGGGGCACCCTGTCCCGGCACGCCTCTCTGCCCACCCAGCGCCAGCAGCTGCTATCCAGAGCCCCACTCTCCTCCAGCCTCAGCCCTGCCCCTCAGACCGACGACTCCTACACACTGTATGCTCCTCCCACCCACATCGTGCTGCCGCTAGCCAACGGCCTCACTACCAACACAGGTATACACACTCAGGACACACACATGGGGGACAAGAGGGGCAAACGTTTAGCATTGAAACATTTAACCACATCGAATCTTCAGCAGTGATTCTAAATGAACCTTGATTATAATTTTAAGGATCATAGCCACAGAGCCTTCATATAGTCTCCAAAACTACATCATACCGAACATGCACACTGGATAATCTGGAACCAGAGAATATTTGGCATTTTTGCTTGAATTTAAAATGTATCCAGTATTAAATAGCCACCAATGAATTTTTTGTCAATCAACTAATCTTGTCAGCTCCACTTACACTATAACCTTATTGCTGTGTGTTAACAGTCTGTTGTACTCTATAAGGCAGTACTGTAAACTTTAACAAAAGAATTAACTCATTTCTCTTAAGCACCAGACTGTTGTTGGTTAAACATTACAGCTCAACTTAGTGAGATGAGTCGATGGTCTGGCTCAGACCAGTCTGTGATAACACCAGGACAGAGATGGCTGAACTCTGTAGAAGGTTTTAGGCAACAGAGATTACAGCCAAAAACTTAGAAAACCTGAAATCTGAGGAGAGCACTGGTGAGTTTTATGGACAGCTACGAGACGAAGACCTGATGACATAAGTGCCCCAGCTGCTGTTTGGGTACGTTTTCATGGGAGCTTGTAGTTTTTTCTGTGTGCACAAAGGTAAACATAGATTAAAATCACAGGTTTCAGCTTCTGTTCCTATGGAATATCCTTAACAAGTCCTTAACAGTGTATTAGCTAAGATTTTACACACTGGGACAGGATGTGGTGTTTCTCCACTATCCTACCCCCTTGTATGACACTTTGCTGCCTACAGCCCTTCTGTTGTTATGCTAGCTTCTCTATGCTGTGTTGTCAAAGTTTGGTCCCTAAATTAATCGAGTCACCTTAGGCCCTCTAGCTCCTGAAAAGAAATCAGGTAGAGTCCCTTTAAAACATAAATAGTTAACCACAAAAATACATTTGACATTTTCAGAAAGACAGAGCAAAGAAATGCTGGATGAGTTATGGAAGCCAGAGGAACAGAGGATCACTCTGTGCTGACATCAAAGCTCAGACTTTATAAAGTATAATTCAAGCGTGGCACTGCCTGATGATGTATGTTACACTATGTCATATTGCAGCGTTTCTATCAGTGGGTAAAATCCTATACACTTACCTGTACAGGTGTGTTTTTAAACCTGACATACATATAGTAGCCAGTCAGATTATGGTAGTAAATGTAAGTGTCAGCACTAAACTGCACAAAGACAAAATCTTTGTCTTCATTTGAGTCTCCTCCAGGTGATTCCTCCTCAGACAGAAGCCTAGCAGAAGCATATTCTATCCCGACAAAACAAAGTCCATCAGAATCTTTGTGTGTGATAGGTCCGTCTTCAAGCCGCCTGTCTCGGTCCGGATGTCCCTTTGAGGACATCTGGGTTCTTAGGGACTCATGTAATGGTAAGAGCCCCTTAAATGACGGCTTCCCCCCCCAAGGCTGTTCTGAAGCTGCATCGCTGTCCCGCTTAATGCTCTGCAATCAGAATCCCACACACCAAGACCAATAAACATCAAACCGTTCACAAAATCTGACAGCAGCAATGTCTCATGTCACTTCATACTGGCTCATAATGTTTATATGAACTCACATCTTAGGTACATTATGTTTTCAGGTGGTGCGTCCGTCCATACGGCCGATTCTCGTGAATGCGATGTCTCTGAAACACCTTGAGGGAATTTCATCAAATGTCCACGTGGACTCAAGGATGAACTGATTAGATTGTAGTGGTCAAAGGTCAAGGTCACAGTGACCTTACGACTGTCCGATTCCCGTAAATATGACTGTTTGGCAGAGGCATAAAAATCACAAAGGAATAATTTTAGTTTGCTCTT